TGTGCGCGCGTGTTTGTATTTGTGTGACTTTGCTTCTGCAAAAAACATATGCAATGCATTTCATGTGATACATTCAATTCATTCTCTCACTCCGCTAATCCCAACATAATACATGCAATAGGCATCACTTTGGCGCAAGTTGATTTTTGCACTTTTGCAAACAATGTCTCCTGTTCATCCAAGCGTGAATACATACCACACGAAAATGATACCAAATGATTTGGGATAAAAACACTCTTTCATAAGATGTATAATAATTGATTGTTCATAGATGTTTTTTTAAAATAATTAGCGATTTTCTAGGTGTAATTTTTTTTTGACTCACACGGTATAGTGAGAGAACTACAACATCCTACACTCTATACTAAAAGAGTACCAATCACCAATTTGTATTTTCTTTTGTATGCTAGTTGATTTACTTTCCAATTGATGGTCTTACATTTTGCTTTCCATACTCTATGGTTTGCATCTCATTTACATCTCAACTCATGACCTCCATTTCCCCACCTTCACACATCACTCTCATTGCCTTTGCAGCACACTTTGTTACTTCCATTTTCACCTCTCATGTTTGTGATTCCATCACAAAGAATTTTTAGCATGTTAAAAATGTGCTTTCAATTAACAGAAAAGTGACTCCTGAGTAGTGCTGTAACATCACAGATATCTCCAATTCCGTTTAACCGCCAGTCAAAACCGGACGGTTTTCGGAATTTTGTTTAATTTTTTTTTTTTTTTTTTTTTTTTTTGACTGACTCAGTCGGCAGCAAACCAGGTCCATGTGAAAAAGCGGGAAGGACTTTCATTTAACAGCGAGGTGCATTTGAAGGCGCCGATTTGTGCTTGTGAACTTGTCACAAATAATAGTAACAATGTCGTTTTTAGAAGAATGTGTAAGATCATTAATTTAAATAAAAACAGTAGAGGACCTAGGATAGAACCTTGGGGTACGCCATGTGTAAAAGTTGGATGAATTATTATTATAAACTACATATTGAGATCTATTACAAAGATTACTTTCAAACCAAGATGACAGACAAATTGGAGTGTTGTTTTAGTTTCGGAGTGGGGAGTCAACACACAGATTACTGAGCTGGGAGACATTGCCAGGCATAGTGCCAGGTGGAGGGGCATAAATCGAAACTTAAACAAATTAAAATAAAAAAAAAAAATTATTAAAAAAAAATAAAATTAAAAATTAAAAAAAAACGGGAAAACAACACCGTCAAATTGAAAACGGAATCCACCATGGGCGGTCGGATACCCGACGGTTAAACGTTTGACTACAGCACTACTCCTGAGTAATCTAATTGAAGCACCTATAGAGGGCTTATGTGTGTCTGGTTATAAGTTATTCTTTATTTTCTTCATACTCGTTATCCGTTATTCAACAACAACAACACAGCTTGTCACATCTACCGATGATTGGATAATCCTCTCTTCAATCTAGAGGCCAAACTAATATCATCTTTCTTGACTTCCAAAAAGTGTTTGATCGCATACCACATCCACACCTTAGATCCAAACTACATTACCAAGGAATCAGGGGAGACTCTCTCCGCTGGACTATGTCACTCCTAGCGAATAGACTTCAAGCTGTCGTCGTCAATGGTGCTTGCTCAGCATGGATGCCGGTTACTTCAGGAGTACCGCAGGGTTCTGTCATTGGCCAGCTGCTTTTCCTGCTGTACATCAATGACATCAAACTCAAGTCTATTTGCAGATGACAGTGTCATCTATCAGCGGATTGACTTTCCCTGACACTCATGTACTGCAAGAAGATCTTCATATTCTTGCAGATTGGTCCACCAAATAGCTGATGGGATTCAACATCAAGAAGTGTGCTACATTGTCAATCATAAACAAGAAGCACCCCATCACAGTGGACTACACCCTACTAAATGAGTCATTTCGTGAGTAAAATAGTACAAGCATCTTGGTGTCACAATTACCCATGACCTTAAAATGGAACACCCAATGTAAACTCACCACCAAGAAAGCCAATAGAACCCTTGGTCTCCTACGCAGAACTCTATCACCGAGCACCAAGAACATCAAATCCAAAGCCTACACAATGCTTGTTCGTCCTCAACTTGAGTATGGCAGTGAAGCTTTGAACCCTCGAACTTCAGAAAGTACAGCAAGCTGCCGCTCGTTTTTTGTATACCAAGACTACCGGAGAGTAACGTCAGTCATATCACTGTCTTGTCAACAAAGTGGGATGGGATACCCTTCACAATCGCAGGCTTCTTGCACAGTCCACTTTGTTTTTAGATACACCATCATCAAATCAACATGCCTTTTCCCACTCACATTATCCCAGCTACATATCTCGGCAGAAATGATCACCCTCTGAAGTATACAGTGCCAACAGCTTCCATTGATAGCTTCAAATACTCCTTCTATCCTCGCACCATATGAACGTGGAGCCACCTATCAGCTGCTGCGGTAATATCTCCAACAGTGACCATCTTCCAGGAGGCTGCTCTACCCATCATCAGAGCGTTGCCTCCTCCTGTTGGGTCCAAGCTACTGTGTCTCGGTGTTTACTTGCACATCCACCGTTTTATTGTAAATAATGGACATTATTCACTGTTTTGAATTATTTTATGCACTGTCAATATATGCCAGCATGTTGCACGGACATCCCAGTTTAGCTGTATGATAAGCTGCCATCTGGATTATTTCTACAAGGTACAAGGTTAGTCCATGGAAAGAAGGGTACAGATTGTACTAATTCTCTAAAGAGAAATGTCCATTTGAAGGGACAAGAAATCAAGTACTGCTTCTTGCAGTTCTGATCATTGTGCTTTAGTAATGGAAAATGAAGCTTGTTTCATTTGGTCTTAAATGTTTTTATTTTTAAAGAACACCCATGTTCACCCATTTCCTTGTTTAAATTATTCTTCAGAATTATAATGAAATGTACTTCAGCTATATATGATAAATGCTAACCGACTAAAATTCTTAAAAAGTGCTCCTTTCTGATCACAATAGTCTTTCTTCTGAAGTCATATGTATGTGTTTTGTACATGACAGATTAACAGGAAAATCCTCTTATGAATATTTATGTATGATGTTATCTGTGATTTTGTATCTGAATAAAGATTTATTTTAACAACATAAAACAAAAGGCGGGACAATCCTCTTGTCCATAAGTTTACGAAATAATAAATCAATTCCTGCCTATCACCATGTTAATCAGTTGCTGCAAAAATCATAAAATAATGATTTCTGTTTCTTTTTCTCCAGACTCTTGCATACTGCCTGCATCTTTCAAAAGTATTACAAGAACTGAAGACTTCTATGCATTGGACGACACAAGACTTGAAACTACATGTGTATCTCCAGCACCTGTGAAAGATGATGATGGATAACAACAGCCAAATGAATAGCAATCAATCTTGAAAAAGTACGAATGAACCTCCAGAAAACTCAAAGATCTGGCAAACTCAAGTAGTAGGTAATGGTGATAGAATGATGCTTGACACGTGGTAGTTTGAGAGCGGTGATAACAATTTGGAATTCACACCATCAGATAAATTTAAATGCTGTACACAGACTTGTTGAGGAAGAATTTCTTCTGATCACCAAGAAAAACAGATGATCCAGGAGCAAGGCTTCATACTTGTACCTTTTTTTATGAACAGACCAGGCATACATTCAGCCTCACAACGGATCATCGTATAGAGAAGGTGACAAATCAGCAGAAGACAGCTTTAGATATATTGTAGACATTCCCTGTAACCAACATAGATCAATCAACACTGATTTCCTGAGTTCTACATGTACATGTACTACAATCTAAAATAAACTTATTTGTTTATTAGATATTGAGTAAAAATTACACTGTTCACACTATTGATGCTATGCAGAGTAATTGTCCACAAGAATTCTTGAGCAATTTTCAAATTTAATCATCTTTCTACAATTTTGTTTGTTTCTTCTTTCTTTCTTTCTTTTAACATTCATTATTAATGGGTTTTTCAAACTAAAAGCATTCTCATTTCATGTGTATTTCTTTTTCTGGTTTGGAACAAAACTGTTGGGTACATTCACTTTCTTTGATTCATTCTTTTCTTTTCCCAGTCCTTTAATCCATAGTATCTTAAAACATGTCTATGTTCCAGACAACCATAGGTAAAATGAGCCTACACATGTACATATTGGTCCTTATTTTTCTCACATTCAACAGACCAAGTGCCTGTACAATACTGTATGTTCAAGAAGGGGAGGAAGCAAAACTGAACTTTTCATACCCATGTGATATCACAAAGATAACATTGCAACATAGCTACAGAGCTCCCTTTTACAATTCAGAAAATCTAGGTTCTAACCCTTTGCCTCAACGATATGAACTTGAAAATCATGAGAAAAATGACGATGACCCTACTTGCTTTATCCTCCTAATCATTGACCCTGTTTTAAGAAGCGATGAGGGTACCTATATTCTCTCAGTATATAACCATAGTCAACTGCTACCAGAGTATCCTAGAATTGGTTTACGTGTTGCCTACCCTCCTGGTAACGCTTCTTGTGAATCAAGTAGCAACCATATAGATGGGACATGGATCAAGCTACAATGCACTGCTCCTTTAGGGAATCTTCCAGGCCAAATTGTATGTTACCAGAATGGCATGAGGCTACCCCCTTTAGGAACACCTGTCGAAAATGGTGGACGATTAAGTCAGGTCATACTGGCGAGAACAGCGGATCACTCAGTACGCTGTTGTTCATCCACCTTTGACCAAACAAAGACCATGCAGCAATGCAGGGATTGTGGATGGGATCCCATTCAGAACATAGCATTAACAGACATTACAGACCTGAGCACTTCTGTCTCACCTACACTACACTCAAAATCAACACAATACTTCACACTGGAGGGTGAAATCCCTTCTTCCCGTCCACAAATGATAACAGTCAAGGCTACCAACATAAATGTACGTTCCAAGACACCCCTGTACATGTACATTGTTATTGGTTTCATGGGTGTATCCATTGTTATTCTTATAGTACTGTACTTCATTAAGGGTAAGGAAAAAAAGCTGCTTAAAAAGAAGTATGATACCACAGATAGTTCAAATGAGCATGATAAACAAAATATACCAACTGAAGACAACAGTACTGGTATCTAATGAGTAAATGAGGTTCATGTGAATTTACATTAAACAATATTGTACCAAGTGAGATAGCCTTCAGAACAAGGCTCAAAATACACAGGGGCGACGTCAGCCCTGGCCTTCCTCACATGTCTCATGTGTGCATACAGTGAAAGCTGGCTTTAAATCTATCGTTAAAGACCAACAATTTTCATTTCCCTTCAAAATCTTCTTTAAAACCTATACTAAAGGAACCTATACATGTACATAAAGACCATATTTATTGTCTCTTTTGAGCGGTCTCTTATGCAAGGTACATGTACTGTGAATTTGCAAGTTTTCATATATCTCACCTCAGCCCTAACCTTTCGCTCTTCGGCCTCTTGTTTCTCTTGTTGCTCACGTTCTTCACGAGCTCTACGTATCTCCTCCTGTCAACAGAACAAACAAAACAGTGTGGATTATTGTGAACTTTTGAATACCAGAGTGCATACAACTGGGGGGGGGGGGGGTGAATGTATGCTTGGCAGGCTGGTTCATACACATTTGAGCCAAATAAGAGTTCTGTCATGAAAGAATACTGTAGATACATACCTGGTATATTAAAATCTGTAATTTCTAACAATCTAGATGCTATTATCTTGTCAAGGACAGCAAATGATAGTGGATTAATATTATGCAATTTTGAAAACCTCATTGCAAGAATGTATATTTACATATGTGTACACAAACGCATAATAGCAAAAAGGCACAATCACAATTTGTTGCTAGTTTTTTCAATCTTTTAGCTTTGATGAATAAAAAAAACGCACTAATACAGAGAAGTCAGTATACCGGTATTGTATTCCATTATGGAAAGTATCATGATTATAAAAGCAAATTTATATCATGATTATGCCGTACATTATTGTGTGCAACATATGCAATATTCCTACATGTACATGTACATGTTAAATACAGAAGAAACTCTTCTCAGCGTAATTAAGTCAAGTTCATAATGCTGCTGTGAGTCAGAGAGGTGTTACTCTATGTCAAATATTTTACACCTTTCTGGCTTTCACCAAGACAGGTGCTATACAAGTCTGGTGCGATTGCTATTGTTATGTCCTTATATCTCACATTATTGTTATGCATATTATGCTTTAATAATCTTTGCACAAACAGTACTATTTTACTGCTAAGTGCCTCTAGTATATACTGTATATGATATTGTTCCAAATGTATTTTTGCTGCTGTTGTTGTATCAGGGCTATGGTCAATCTTCTGTATTAAAAGTGCTTAATAAGAAACAAACAATAAATTAATTACTTACTTAATTTAATCAATTATTAATATAGATTTCATTGTAAATATTTTAGATTGCCTTTGTGGATTACCAAAGAGGTTGTTGCAAATGTTTTTAAGTTTTCAATAAAATCTTCTTCTTTTTTTAATGATTATGCAGTAGGAGAAACTAAGCGTTTTAATTTAAATCAATGTACAGGGTGTACATGTCAATTAAAATTTTAAGTAAAAGAATACCTCTGAATGGATACACTAAATACAAATATTGTACTCAATGTTGTAACTTGTATAATATATTCGTGACTTGTACTTAATACATACTGTAAGATAGTAATGTGGTAATGCTTGTTCATTCATTTCATTGTCTCAAATTCTAAATTTTCTACTTTCTTCTTCTTATTCAATCATTGTCTCTTTTGTCCTTTTCTTCATTGTTATTCAGGACGTATATTCCTTCTTCCCTACTCACCTTTCAGTTATTCTATTCTTTCCTCCAGACTCACTCAATCCTATCGATTAATTCTCCTTTTCTCACACGCTATTCTATTATTTTAGACATGTCCATTTTCTGCGATGTCATTGGTTAAGATGTTGTAAATGTTTGTTTATCTGAATGTTCTGCAGAAAGCAGTATGCAATACAAAGAAATAAAGTAGAGCACTAGTTACAGTACGAGACTTCACTTTTATAATTTCATTTATTTTGGCTCTCATTTTGGCTACTGACTTGGAGTTTAGTTAGATAATTATTTTTATTGCTGACTCATGTTTGACCGATTTCGGATTCTGATTTGCTGTCTGCGGGTGATTCTCAACTATAATTTAGAAGCTTTACAATACCATAACAATTATATTGTATTGAGGAAAGTGTCATACTATTTCATACATATCGTCCCTGTTTTCACGAAGTGACGGTAGTGAGGAAATTCGTAACACAAAATGTATGCGATTTTCATTCACTACCGTCACTTCGTGAAAATAGGGACGATATGTTGTGCAAGCAAAACAAAACCGATAATCTGTGTCAATAAATTCAATCAATCTTATTCAAATACCTGCGATAAACTGAATATCATCATTTTCTGTGTGACTAGTTTAAAGTACAAACCTTGCGCTCTGGAGTCATGGAGACGGTTGTCATGGTGAATTCTTGCTGCACTCGTTGCTCTGCTTCCACACGCTCCTGTTCTCGTTTTTGACGCAACTCCTGAAATAAGAAATACGTGGATAAGAAGATAGAAATACATGCAACAGTTGAAATCAATTTTTTGTTCACATAAAAAAAAATTAGTTAGAAAAGAATATTTGCCAACAGATCCATTTCAATAACAAACAGTTTTTCTCTATATCTTTTTTAATTATTTTCAAAATTTATAATTTATTTATATATTTGTTTAATCCCATTTCTATTCAATTTATTCTGTTTTTTTTTTTATTGAATTGCTGATCTTACAACCCTGGAAGTGCCAGACCTTGATATATTCATTGGGTGAGGATATTTAACACAACCATTGAGTGAGGATAATAAGAGTCACTATGCCATTTCAGTTGAAACTACTTTACCAATTTTTTGTTTGTTTGTTTTGTTTTGTTTTTTTGGAGGGGGGGGGGGGGCATTCTGTGGCTGAAAATCTAACCATCTATGACCACCACCCCCTCCCCTCGTACCCTTCAGATATTATTCTATGTTAGCACATTAACAAATACGTTAAGCCCATGCAGGTTTTCTGCTGAGAAACCTGCCTGCTAGTAAATTCATTAAAGGAAAATCCAACCTTCATAGACAACTCCTCTAACAGAAAGCAGAAAAATAAAAAGGCAGCAAACTGGTTAAAGTCTGAATATAATTGGACAAAATCCTAAAAAGTGTATGATTCTATTGAATTTGTAATCACTATACATGTACATACGAGCACTTCGATTTGGCTGAATCGGTAATTGGCAATTTACCCATTAGTTTCAAAACATAAAATGACTAAAATGTCAATTGTTCAAAAAGTATCACTCACAAGGTTATTTTCTTTTTGGAGAACCTATAATAACTAGAAATATCGCAATCTGTATTGCCGCGCAATGCGAATGTATCCCCCGGCAGTGGCAGCGATTTTTTTTATCCTTATGTGGAAGGAGGGACAAAGATTCCCTCTCCTCTTTGTGAAACAAAAGGATGACGTAGAGATTGCCGCAAGTGGCTCAGACTATTGTCAAGACTAGGAGCAGCATCACCAAAACAATAGGTGTGTAGATCAGATTATGATGCATATTTATAGAAAATTTGAAAGAAATGTGATTTGCATAGCGACACAAGATATTCCTTTAAATATAACCTTTGACCCTATAAGAGATGGAATACTGGGGGGTAGCAGCACCAAATTTGTGGAGGTCTAGAGTAAACTATAATGAACCTTAATACAAATTTGAAAGAAATCTGTTAAGAAATGTGAGTGCACACAAAACATCTATCAAAATATGGCCTTTGACCCTATAAAAGACGGAACACTGGGGGCAGCATCATCAAAATCTATAGGCTTGTAGATTCTACCAAGATACACCTGCGTTCAGAATTTGAACAAAATCCCTTTAGAAATGTGGCCTATAGAGCGCACACAAACCATCCACAAAAATATAGCCTTGTACCCTATAGAAGACGGAACACTGGGGGCAGCATCACCAAAAGTTATAGGTATGTAGATTATACCAGGATACACCTCCATACAAAATGTGAAAGAAATCCGTAGAGAAATGTGGCAGTTAGAGCGCACACTAGAGTGCACACAAGACATCTATCAAAATATGACCTTTGACCCTATAAAAGACGGAACATTGGAAGCAGCATCACTAAAATCTATAGGCTTGTAGATTATACCAAGATACACCTTCGTTCAAAATTTGAACAATATCCCTTTAGAAATGTGGCCTATAGAGCGCACACAAACAAAAATATGGCCTTGTACCCTATAGAAGGCGGAACACTGGGGGCAGCATTACCAAAAGTTATAGGTATGTAGATTATACCAGGATACACCTCCATACAAAATTTGAAAGAAATCCGTCAAGAAATGTGGCAGTTAGAGCGCACACTAGAGTGCACACAAGACATCTATCAAAATATGACCTTTGACCCTATAAAAGACGGAACATTGGAGGCAGCATCACTAAAATCTATAGGCTTGTAGACTATACCAAGATACACCTTCGTTCAAAATTTGAACAAAATCCCTTTAGAAATGTGGCCTATAGAGCGTACACAAACCATCCACAAAAATATGGCCTTGTACCCTATAGAAGACGGAACACTGGGGGCAGCATCACCAAAAGTTATAGGTATGTAGATTATACCAGGATACACCTCCATACAAAATTTGAAAGAAATCCGTCAAGAAATGTGGCAGTTAGAGCGCACACTAGAGTGCACACAAGACATCTATCAAAATATGACCTTTGACCCTATAAAAGACGGAACATTGGAGGCAGAATCACTAAAATCTATAGGCTTGTAGATTATACCAAGATACACCTTCGTTCAAAATTTGAACAAAATCCCTTTAAAAATGTGGCCTATAGAGCGCACACAAACCATCCACAGAAATATGGCCTTGTACCCTATAGAAGACGGAACACTGGGGGCAGCATCACCAAAAGTTATAGGTATGTAGATTATACCAGGATACACCTCCATACAAAATTTGAAAGAAATCCATCAAGAAATGTGGCAGTGAGAGCGCACACAAGAATATGACGCGGCGGCGGCGGACGCGGCGGCGGCGGCGTAACGCTGCTGAATCCAAAGTACCCCACCGGCATACTGCCGGGGGATACAATAATATTCTATCCATAATATATTTTTATAGTAGTGTCCCAAAGGACAAGGCACTTCAGAGACAATCAGAAATTATTTTTTTTTACTTGCCAATTTCAGATTTGTATAGATCTAGTGATCTCATACTTTGAACATTCATTCATAACTCTCTTTTTATTAGTCTGATTTATTTCAAACTTTCGCCATATTGTTACTCTTATTTTTCTGTTTTCATATAAATTATCTTACTACAAAGGTTGGATTGCCCTTGAACATGATCCATACTTATTCTTACCTCTGCCTTCTTCTCTGCTTCGTTGAGTGTTTTCTCTCCATTACTCACATTCTTTGCCACCCTGTTCAAAACAACCAAAAAAGATCACATAAATATGGTTCAACAATAATAATATTAATACTCAGTTTTTATATAGCACTTATTTCAATCACTAAGCGCTTCCAAACTTGGAGATTCTTACCCTGGCTTTAGCTGTGCTGCCATTAGAGCGCTCTAGCATTTCAAAGAATTAAATCCTGCACATGTATGCTCTGATGACAACTTTTGTATTGTCCATTCCCTCTTTTAAACCGTAGTCCGTACATTAAACATGGACACAACACTATACCTCGACGATACCCTTCTGTAAAACCAAACTTCTTTCATAATCCTAACCCTATAGCATATGTATCTAAAAAATATAATACAGATTAGAGCGTAGATGGAGCTTATATTAGATCATGAGTACACAATGCAAAGGGCTGTAGCGAAAGCATCTCTAAGAAAAGACGAAAATTTACACATGTACCATAATCCAAACAATTTTCAATGTATATTAATAGGGCACAAGTACAATGCATTTTACAAGAAATGTAAGCTCAAATTTGAACAACATTGATATAATCACTGATTTCATTTGTCAATGATGTTGTCCTTATTGTCAACTTTGTCAAAATATGATAATGTAAACATAAAAGGAGATATTAGATTTATACTCCGGATGAGAAATGAATACAAAATATGACATTGTTTATATTGGGCATCTTATACATCAATAAATATTGTGCTACTGAAACTGATTTGATAAATTCCTACCAAAAATAAAGCTTTATGACAAATATTACTTACATTGGTGACTTAGGAGTTTGTTTCTGTAATAACAAGAGAAGAAAAAAAAATAGTAAATACTTAGTACTGTAACACATTACCAAGCTCTTTTTGCAAGACAAGAGTTGGTTAAAATAAAGGATTTTATGGAAATATTATCTGCTCCAAGCATAAAATGTAACTTACTATTAAAACTTCAACACTTCCCCTCCTCTTCTGCCCCCCCCCCCAAAGGCTATAAGAACACATTCAAATTGTACTACATGTATATTTTTTTCCTGTTTTAACGATGGTTTGTCCTTTTGGAGACCTAATCACATGAAGTTCAATGAATCCATTGAAGAGGTCTTTTATTAGAAACCTTCCACCAAATAAAAAAAAAAAGAGAACTGCTTTCAATAAATAAATTTTGAATGTTTGATTCCTTTTTTTTTTCATTTTCTAGACTCAAAAATATTTGTAGGTAATTCTAAATCAATTTGACTGTTATATCTGTTGATTTAAGAATAGCTCCCTCTGCGACAATATGAACACAGCGCTATATCTTCATTTCTTACAAGGAAGTTTCAGAATCTGCAACTGTAAAATTTCACACACAATATACAGTATGTACGATAGAGTTTGCACAAGTCTTCAAAATGGACTTTAACTGCCTTTAAACATCACTATTTATATGTACTTGTACTCAAGTAAATGTCTCATGCATGTTGATTGTACAAAATGTCACACTTAAATACAAATCTGTCTGGAGTGGTGACCTTAAAGACCGTCAATACTACTGGGCCAGAAGGGATTAGACCACACAGGGAGGTCACTGACAGGTGGCTATCTCATTAACTTAGCTCTCAACTAACATAAGAAAAAGAGGATCATGGGGGACCAACAGGCACCGATTGGGGAAGTTTTCTATATAGAGGGAGCAAGTAGCTACAAGTAGGACAGTGGGGCTTGACCTCTTCTAATTTTTTTTTTAAATAAGCTCTTCGAACACATTAAAAATGTACATTTACATTGTTTTTTCTGCCTTAAATATCATTACATGTACAGGTACTCCAAAAAGTGAATGTCTAATGTATGTTGACTGTACACTGTACATAGCAAAAACGCAAAAGTGTCAGACTGAAACCCAAATCTGTCTGGAGTGGTGACCTTAATATTGACCTTTGTGAGCCTACTGTGAAACTGAACCAGTGCCAATAATTGGATCTGTGTGTTTTGTGAGAAGAAAGTTAACATATCATGCATACCGAACACACTCCCAAGATGGTTGGTTACATGAGAGTGTAGAAGTTGAGCAGAAATAGAAATGTAAGAAAGGAGAGGGGAGAGTCTGAGGGGACAGAGAGAAAGAGAGACTGACGAGATAGAGGGGGTGAGCCTAGCTATGAAAGATATAGAAGGGGAGGTATGTAAAGAGAGAGAGAGAGAGAGAGAGAGAGGGGGGGGGGGAGGGGAGAAAAACAATGATAGAGAGGATAGAGGAAGGGTCTAAAGAAAGGCAGATAAGTATTAAAAAAAATTAAAAAAAGATCTCTAGACAAAGAAGAGAGATTTAAGATTTGAAAGAGAATGAAAAAACTGGTGAGAAAGAGAGGGGAGATAGAGGGAGACAGGAGAATAGAGGGAGGGGAGAGGGGAGAGAGAGGGGACAGGGAGAAGAAGGGAGTGGGAGAGAGAGAGAGGGGAGAGAGGGAGGGGAAAGAGGGGGAGAGAGGGAGGGGAAAGAGGGGGAGAGAGGGAGGGGAAAGAGGGGGAGAGAGGGAGGGGAAAGAGGGGGAGAGAGGGAGGGGAAAGAGGAGAGAGAGGGAGGGGAAAGAGGAGAGAGGGAGGGGAAAGAGGGGAAAGAGGGGAGAGAGGAAGGGAGAGAGGAAGGGAGAGAGGGAGGGAAGGGAGAGAGGGAGGGAAGAGAGGGAGGGGAGAGCGGGAGGGGAGAGAGGGAGGGGAGAGAGAAAGGGGAGAGGGGAGAGAGGGAGGGGAGAGAGAAAGGGGAGAGGGGAGAGAGGGAGGGGAGAGAGAAAGGGGAGAGGGGAGAGGGAGGGGAGAGAGAAAGGGGAGAGGAAGGGGAGAGGAAGGGGAGAGAGATAGAGGGGGAGAGAGATAGAGGGGGAGAGAGATAGAGAGGGAGATAATGAGAGAACATGAGGGCAAAGAGAAGATAGAGAGGTGGAGGGAGGGATAGTAAGAGAGGAGAGAGAGAGAGAGAGAGAGAGACTATTTCATACATACCAGCTGTACACTTGGGACTATCACATGAGAGGTCTTGGTGTTTGGGGAAACTGAACCACTGTAAGAAAAAGAAATTAAGAATTACAGCAACAATGATAGTGGTAAACTTATGTACATCTGAATTCTCGCTACCCCAAATAGCGATTCTGCCGAGATCCGGGGAAAATCCTGAAAACGCGCATTGCATTATGGGATAGCTTTTCGACATTACAGCTTCCTGTGCAGGCGGCGCGATAGCGCAAACGTAAAACGCCGTCGCCACACAACGTGTATGCACCGAATATGTCGTCTGCTCGGTCTTGTTTTTTTTTTCGCAAATATTTCAACGTTTATTTGAACATTTCATTCATTGTTTTTTGCGTCTTTTGACATCAGTGACGATGGTTTTCTTTTGTGAGGCTGCACAGTGCTGGGCTCATGATTCCAAGCGTAAGAACCCTGAAAAATGGGGGTGGATGAAGGCCGTGACTTGGGATGGGACTCTATACCGGAAGTTGTAGTGACGACCCGAGAGAGTGAAAATTACCTCGTCTCGCGAATTTCGAGATTTTCGTACCTATTTAGGGTAGCGAGAATTGTACACATTAATGATACATGAATTCACATGTAATACTACCACTACTACTACTAATATCATTTTTGATAATAAATACCAACAACAACAGCAGCACTGCATTAATAATTAAAAGGGGAAAAAAAGAAAATATAAATGTAATTGCTTGTACAGAAAACAGTGTAATCTATAATTTGTAAGTACAGTGTATAAAAATGTACATGCAGTTATTACATGTAGACCCCTCATAGGGAAAAAGATATGAGGTTATATGAAAAAAATCACTTAATTTACATGGGGGTAATTAATGCACAAGTACTGTACAAAGGAAAATAAGTAGGGCTGAAGATTTGCTGATTGCAAAAATATTTCATTATGTTTATGTACATTTTGTACTATGCTATTGTGAAACACATTCAAATGACATGAGAAAATTACATTTAACAAAAAAAGTTCTCATCATTTGTGGTCTGTATAAGATTCTATGGGAATTACCGTATTCAGCCATCAACAAGGTCCAACTGTAAATACTTAACTATTTTTATTTTTTTACTGCTGACAAACAAACAAATTAATTCTGATTTTGTAACTTATACAAAAAGCAGACAAAATGATATTTTTAAAGAAAGAAATTATTTGTCAAAAGTTGAAAAGTTGACATTGAAATCTGTACAGACAGGAAGCTTATATGGTTATAGTTTTGTGCCTCATCATAAATAGAGAAAAAGAGACAAAATTCTTTTATAAAAAAAGGCATGTACTGTACATTCAAGCTCACTAGGAGTATATTTGTCTATAAATATCTAGCATATCCAACATTTTTAAAACTATTTAATTGTGCATAACAACACACATGTATATGTACACTGTATACAAAATCAATGTAGAAACATGCAACAATCATAGGCACTCCTGATTTACAAGTATGCCGTTTTGAACAAGTAAAATATAAATACAGGTTAAAAACACTCTAAATTTTCACACCACCCCTTGCAATCTTCCATCCATTCACATCCCTTTGCTTATTGCCACGATAAACTCATCTACAAACAAATGTACGTTTGCACTGGTGGTGATTTGCGTCTTAGCAAACACTTCACACAAATCTTCCTCATTCCATTTACATTAGGGTTGGCTGACATTTAAACACTTTAAATCCTAAACTGTATCAGGGTGTGTTTGAATACCGTAGCAAAAGGTAACACATCACCATTTTTATTGTAAACATGCACTATCGTGATAGAGATTAGTACCAACAAGATTACCGGTTTACTAACATATTAAAATGTATGGATACTTCTTTCCTTGGACCTACATGTACATGTAGTGACAAGTTATTCCATTAACCTGTCATTAATGAATGAACTACAATACTTGGAATCCAGTCTGCATACATTATGTGTTGCAATACCGGGCAACCATCAGCAAACTTTCAGGTTGTCATGAACAACCTTTGTTTAGAAGTATACATAAAATTTGAATATGTTAGAAAACCGGTCTATTGTGTACCGTAAGAATGACACAGATTCAGTGAGAGCTGGTACAATACGTTGAAGGTATTACTCTTTGAAGGCTTTGGCGGTCGTATGCTACAAACAGTGGATAGCCAGTCACCATGAGTGCCTATACATGTACCACATACATGTACATGTATTCCAAAGAAACATGGCAGTTTGAAGATCTACATGTACATTGTATATCAAGTGACTAGGGTTTGGTGTGAGGGATTTTATGTTATTTTGATGTTATCATTTTTCTCATCATAAGCTGTATTCCAATAAACCCATGTGGGCCTGCATCTTGAAGAGTATCCATCATAGTAATCAAAAATATTAAGTCTATAGCCATCATGGGGATAAAATATCCAATTTTAGCCATGTTATGTCATAGTAGATATATGTAGTAGAGGTTGTCAAGATTTAGGCAAATAAAGTCAGATAAATTTCCCCAAAAATTAACCATTCACTCATGCTCCTCAGATATAAATATTTTACAGTTTGGGTCTAACACTAACAGCATAATTCAATTTTTATTTGTTCTCACATGCAGTGCCTAGAAGTCAAGCCATTTGAGGGGGAGGGGGAGGGGGTGCACACTGGTCTCTCATGATATGCTATGCTCATTTACAATGTCTCTAACATGAGGGGAAGGGTATGCCTGGTGTGGGAGGGGTCCTATCCTCTTCATTTTCTCATAATTTTCCCATTTCTCTTCTTATTCTACCCTTCTTTTCCTTTTTTTGCTTTGTCTGTCTGGTGCAGGTGGGGGAGGGGGAATCCGGAATGTGCCCCTTGTCGCTTTGCCTAAGCTTAATTTAGGTCATACATGTAGATGTACTTACGTGTAGTACATGTATCGCCTGCTAGTCCAGTGATAGCAGGAATGAAAACAATATTTAAATTAATCAAATGCTCTTTCTGTAACATGTTCAGCATTTAACTACAAAAACGTCATCATTAAATGAATGAAAATTGCAGACATTTATATCATGAAACATGTAATTAAAAGCTCAATGCTAACAGATGCCTGAGAAACTAATCCTTTTACATTACTGGGGGAGAACCGAAGAGGTAAATTATATGGAATTGTTTTTAAAGTGGCAAAACTAGATGTACATGTACACTGTACATGTACATTATATCTGATCCCGAGTGGAAAATCTTTCCGCATTATTATTAGCGGCTACTGTTAATTCTTCAGCCTCGAGTCTGGATTTTAAAAGATAATCTTACATAATTTGGCAGTTTGAGCTTCTATTAACCCATTGCTTACTGGAACCTGGTGGTCCCTGTGTTAAGCCTATGGGAATTAGATAATGCAGTAGTCAGCGGGTTAACGGTAACTGAACTTACTTTGTAACTCCTCCATCCATCTCTATGCGTTTGCGATGCCTTTCCTCTTTCTTCCTCTCCCATTCCTCTTGGAAACTCATGGTTGATTGGGGCTGAACGGTCCACGGAATCAAAAAACTGCCACGAAGGGGAATAATAATAATAATAATAATAACGGTGATGTTGATGATGATGAAAATGATAACGATAATGATTATATAATAATAAAATTAATAATAATAAAAGGAATAATCATTATAATGATAATAAGAATGATAATAATAATAATAATAATGGTGATGATGATGATGATGATGATGAAAATGATAACGATAATGATAATAATAATAAAATTAATAATAAAAGGAATAATCATTATAATGATAATAATAATATAAGACTCTAGTATCAATAATATTAATAATAATGATAATAATAACATGTCATTTCAACCCTGTAGCATCATGGGACGTTAACAAAGTTTAAGTTCTATTGTATATAACCAAGCCATGAAGGCGAGGATAAGGATGAAGATATGTGTATCATGTGTAGATTCTACTGTTGTTGTTTTTAAAAAGATTCCACTACGATGAACATGTAAAATAAACTTCACCGTCCTTCTTGAAACATCCAACATTTACTCTAGACATCATCATTTTTACTTGCACCATAAACATTATAGTTAGGCACAAATTCACACAAGCCGTGCACAGTTGGCAGAAGATCACCCTTGTCTAGATGCTGAACAGGCTTTGACAAGTAGCAGAATAGAAGTAGAAGTAGTACTACTATTATTAGCAGACCCTAGTAGATCTACATGTAGTAAAGTAAGAGTCTCAGATCATATCACTTTGATGTCAACAAACAATAATCAATATGTCAATATCATGAATATGAACAACAACTCCATTGTAGAGTCTAAACTGATTCTTAACAATATTAAAGTTACTCTAATCACTGTTTTCACTCTCAATTGAAATTGGGCTAGACTTACAATGCACAATAGACAACAATGACCACTGTGATTGCAATGCACTGCTTATTTACAAAAGAACTTGTCTGAAGGCCTATTCCGAGTCAAAGGAAATATTCACCGCCCGACCGCGCCCACACACAAATCAATAGCATCGAAGAATCTCAAAGCCTAGCCTGCGAGCGCCCAAGCGAGGCTTCACGCATCGTACCGGCGCCGCTACACTGCCAGGGCCGCCTTCTACTTCTAGACCCGACTTCTTCGTTCGCAAGTCGGCAAGTCGTGCGTTCAAAAATCACCAAAATATCATATAAACTATCATCTCTGCCCTATACACACTCTGGCACACCAAACTGAAACCATGCACTCGTAATCAGACATTCAAAGCTGAGCTAATACTTAGTATTATACTTACTTTTAATAGATTGAAATGTCTTTTTCCTTAACCGGACCGGTGTCAACACTCACGGTATATATAGCTTACGTCACGGCGGAACAGGTGTTTTTGTTATAAAGTTTGCGATCGCGATCACCCATCGTCGGATCAAACTGTGCGAGTAGACTTTGTGACGAGAAGGTACACAAAGGGTGAATGGATGCTGGTGAAATGGAATAAGTAGGCTACTTTAAATTTCTACTGGGACCAATTGGAGGAAATTTAATTTTCTAATGTAAATATTAATATGATCAACATACAGTTACCGAAATACTACCAGGAAATGATAAATATTTGGTTTGATATGAATTGGAACGGATGCACATCATGCACCTTATTAAAAAAGGTTTATTCATAAAAAAGGACAAATGTATTTTCATGAAAATCTTTTCTTTAAAAATACCTATAAATTGTACCTTATTATAGACAAAGAAGGAAAATTGAAGTCAGATACTTATTTTAGATATATGGGACTAAATGAAGAGAAAATAGCAATTAAAGAAATGTATGCAGACACGCCTGAACTATGATGATGGAAAATCGATATAATGAAGGATACCCAATAGTTGACGGTTAGAATTTATTTTTTAAAGAAAACTTTTCAATTTTAATCATTGAATCAATGGGTTGAACCAATGGCGGATCCAGGATTTTCCTAAAACCGCGCCGTTTTACTGTTTTACTTTTCTTTTTCTTTTTTCTTCTTCTTCAGTTTTGTTTACTTCTCCCCCCCCCCCCCCCCTCCCCCCCCCCCCCCCCTTCTCTTGCTTACTTACTTGCTTAAGTCGGGTCAACTGCCCGAGCTGCATGTGATATATTCGTGAACCATCATGTATTCCCTTCTCACTTGGCCCCAAAGGGAGGGGGGTAAAACCGCCGAACCTCCCCCCCCCCCCTAGATCCGCCCCTGATTATCTTTTAAAGATAGGCAAATACAAAAATTTGCTAAAAAGTAAACAAGAAGAGAGAAAGATTGCTACAGAGCGAAATACATCGCCTAATATTTTTTTGTTAAAGGGCATTTGAAAGTGTCACAGATGATCAGCATGAAAGTGAAAACATATAATGGATGGCGCTCTGCCGCTATAATAGATACTGCCCTCTTCACTTCTCTTTTTTCTGTTTTGTTTGTTTGTATGTTTGTCGGGGGAAGCGGGGAGGGGAGGGGAAGACTTTGATCTGTAATATATGATTCAGTATAATTAATTTGAAGACATATAACTGCATTATGTATATCAATTAAAATGAAGATGTATTATTTTTTTATTTGTACTGAAGGAATGCAATAAAGAATTCTACAAAAAACAAAAATAACATTAATGCTGAAAAAAAAGTATACAGTATAGTACGGCTGTGAGTTTTTTTCTAGGAGGGGAGCGCCATCGCCCCGAAAAATCTGTGACACAAAAACAAACAAACATACAAACAGCAAGCCAAAACAGAAAATGCAACAACATCAAAAACGAACATTGATAGATGCTTTTAATTGCTGGGAACAAGTTTTCAGTGAAAAAAAGAAACGGTTATGTGACTTTTGTGGGTTCTTTTCATATATTAGCTATAATAGGGCCGAAATTTGATACCGAAGCAAATATTCAGGGCACAATCTCCTTACATTAGGAGCACGTCAGGGGCGAATCCATCTCCGGGCCCCCTCCCCCCCCCCCCCCCCCCTCACCCCCGCTTGTTCGGCCGGCTGGCTGAGTCGCCGCTAAATATTTTATCACGAGTTGGGCCCCCTTCCTCGCCGCCGGCTGGATCCGCCCCTGGAGCATGTACCCCCGGCCCCCTCATATCTGCCAATAATGGCGATTTATTAATTATTGGGAGTTAAATTTCTCTATAAATTATGTTAGATTTATTTTGTGAAGCGACACAATGCGCCGGTGGGCCGACAAAAACAACTTCGTGGAAATACCGACAATTAATACTGAAGAAACAAAAATTACTGAAAGTAAGAAACGCTTTTAAAATCGCGATAGGGCCAAAAATTGTATGAGAATTTTCTTAACTGGAAGAGTTGATCCATATGGATAATACTTCTTTTTAACAACGATTTTAATCAGGAATACATAAATTACAAGATGTGTTATCTGTTCATTTCCTGTGCTAAGTTCAAAGTGACTGTGAAAACAAAAATCATCAAAGAAACTTACTCCCCCCCCCCCCCCTCCCCCAGCTTGCTCCCCTCCCTCCAAATGAAATAAAGCTACATGAGAGCTCAGACTAAAATCCAAGGGCTTTAATGAATTATCATCTAAATGACTATCCGGACACAATTCGACCCGGAATTCGACAGTAAAAGAACGCAATGCAGAGTAATAAGCCCGGCCTACTAATTGCAAATGATGTGAATTTGTATGGATTCTCCCTACAGAGGGCAGCAGATCTAAAAGAATGAAAATTAATTTCTCCCCCCCCCCTCCTCTCTCTCTCTCTCTCTCTCTACTCTCTCTCATGAGTCGTGACTATACAACCTTTCAGTGCATGGCACACTACACCTGACACTCTCTCTTACCCTCCATTGGATACTTTACTTCTTGCAAACTTGTGATTGGTCATTATTACATTTCAAAACATGTCGGCCATATTGGCAACCATCTTGGACGATGCATCAAAATAAAAAAAAGTCCGTGGACTTCAAGTTTTGAAACGTGTAGAACAGAATGTGTATGTTTTTTACACCCATTTCAGATCAGGATTTCTTATCTTCTTCCTTCCATTTTTCTATCTCTCTATTCCTTATTTCTTCCCTCTCCCTTTCTCTCAACTTCTATTTCTTTATATACACCCACAACAAAAAGTGAGTCACCCTTACTCAAATTGATGAGTCACTGGTTTGTCCGTACAGCGAAACACTTGAAGGATCATGTGAGTCACTATGACTCGATACAAATGAGTCTTATTTATCTAAGAGACTCATTTGTATCGAGTCATAGTGACTCACATGATCCTTCAAGTGTTTCGCTGTACGGACAAACCAGTGACTCATCAATTTGAGTAAGGGTGACTCACTTTTTGTTGTGGGTGTAGGCTTTCTTCTTAGTATATTCTTGCTCCTTTTCTCTCTATCTATTTCCTTCTCTTTATCTAGCTGTCTATCTTTCTATTCCTTTCACTCTCTCCTTTCTCCTCTTTGGTAATGATTTCACTTTGCCTCTCCTTCCTTTGCGGTTAAAATTGTTGTTTAAAAGAAAAAATATGAACTACCATTTAGGCATACAAACACAGCTTTAAATAAAATAAACAAATATATTTACATAACAACCGAAATACACAAACATTGGAAAATATAGTTTGAAAAGGAAAAGGCTAAATATGTCATTCTACAAGGGGTTAAATATTTATTTTTTAACGATATGTATTAAAAAATATGCCAGGTATTCCACCATAATTTTGCTCCGGCAGCAATATTTTCTCCAGGATTTGTTCCGTCAAAGATAAGCTCAGGGTTAGATGTATTATTGTCTGGTATTGTTATAAGGATATCAAAATGATTATCGTCACAATTGTCATGGAGATGGAGGAAAAGATGCTATCCTGGTATCCTATGCTTTAAAGTTTTAAAATGTTTTACATTTTTTTTCTTCTTCAGTTTGGTTGGTCCTGTACCTGCCAAGGATAAGTTGTTATATTGGGAAGGAAGAATTAATTAATTATATAGCATAAAGTTGTTTTCGGGGAGAATATTTGTTAGAAGAATTCCTAGAGTAAGTGAGTGAGAGAGAGAGAGAGAGAGAGAGAAAGAGAAAGAGAGAGAGAGGGAGGGAGAGAGGGAGGGAGAGAGAGAGAGGGGGGGGGGTTGCCAAACTTGCCATGTCAGGCAAGGTCGAATGGGTAAGAAGAGGCTTGTCAGTAAATATGTGAAATGATGGAACAAAAGAATTATAAAGAGTAGAGACAGAGGGGGAGGAATGTAAGTCAGGGCTGCCCTGATGATGACAGAGTATAATTATGGAAATCTTAATGTAAATTTAACAAGTAAAAGCGCTATATACGCGGTGTTCTACTTTATATCTTTGGTAAAAGTATATACTTACATAAAATTATATTGTAAGGTAAAAAAAAAAAATAGTGAGTGAGAGAGAGAGATAGGGAGAGAGAAAAAGAGAGAGAGAGAGAGAGATAGGGAGAGAGAGATGGGGCCGATTCATGTATATCCTTACATAAAATTATATTATAAGGTTAAAAAAAAGAAAGAGTGAGTGGGAGAGAGAGAGAGAGAGATGGGGGCCGGGGGAGATAAAGAATGAGGATGTGGCAGAAGGAAGATTGTGATAATAAGAAAGAAAAAGAGGAAAGAAAGAGAGAAATGCGAAATTAAGAGAAAGTAGAATATGTGTGTGATAGTGTATTAATAAGAAATAGGCGAAATGGGAACCTTGGAAAAAACAATTAAGACCAATATGTCTCCTCCAAAGTATCAGTTAAAAATATTATTTAATTATTCTTCCTAGAGAAATCAAATTATAACACTCAATGAATGACCGCTATACTACAGAGATGAAAACTCTGCTTCGGAAAGAGGTAGAGAAAGAGAAAAAAACTAGGGAGAGAGAGGGGGAATGACGTTATTATTGACACTTAAAGGTATAGAGCAGTTCTGTTCATGCGATTGCATTGTGAAAAAATCGTTGTGGAATCGATCAGAAAAGGTTGATCATCTAGCATTTAAAGGGATAGTTGAGTTCTGTTTTCAGACCGCAAATGCCTTCAAAGTGCATGGTTATTGCTCTTATTCTTATCTATGACATTTCTAGTGCCCTTTTAGAACCTAAAATTGCTTTGAAGGTAATTTTAGACCCCAAAATGTGTGAAATTTAGCCAATACAAGCATACCAATTAAGATCCACTGTAAAAAAAAGTCACGGTGACCGTTAATTGATTATTTAATTAAAAATAACAATACATGGGCCAGCTGGTTGTGCGTAATATAAGCAACACGAAAATTGCAACAACAAAAAAACAACATCGGCATTGGCTGAAATACGACGTAAAAGGCGTTAATTACGTTTTTTTTAAACGGTTTTTTCAAATTTTTCAAAATATCTAATATTTGTGGTGGTACACAAGTATTAGAAATCGTTATATTTCAGGCGTCTCTGAACCGATTTTGATCAAACAAAGATGATTTT